TAACTTTTCGATTATGATTACAACATGGATATGCATGTGTTTGCCAAAGCACAAGTCTCTAGTATTTGAAATACGCTTTTTATAAATTTTAACAAAAACCGAAATTGCATAAAAGCATACATTAAAAATTTGGAGACTAGCAATAAAGGTGTAGGAGATATAATTTTATAACTGGTTTTCGATAAGATTTTTTATCGATAAAAAGATCGGGATGAGTTATCGATTTTTAATAATAAACTTGATATGCGCGCTGTAATTACGGACATTTAAAAAAAATTTAAGTCTCTAGCTCTTCTGAAATCGACGCGTTCATACATACGGACAGACGGACGGACAGGGCCAAATCAACTCAGCTCGTCGCCCTGATCAAGAATATATATACTTTGTGGGGTCTGCCACGCCTCCTTCTGCCTGTTACATACATTTCAACAAAAACATTATACCCTGATTTCCCATTGAAAATGCGATCAGGATATAATGATACCTTGGACTTATTTATTCAAGTCTTAGCTTAAATACATAATGTTTACATTTACATATTAGTGCTGTAAAACTATCGATTAAACTATCGATATATCGAATATTTATATTTCTGCGTCCATATCGATTGTTTTTTATACTTTCGATAGAGATGATATCGTGCGTAGCACATCAACACTGACCAGAGAACACATAGACTAGACATGTAGAACAATCTTTTTCAACACCGAAAAAATGCGCTGAGCGGACCGGACAACTTCGTATTTGGTCGGCTCGGTCTTCTGAGGCTCAAGCAGTGAAAATAAGGCAAGACAAAATCAGTGTGCTGCGACTGCTGCCACGAATTGCACGCATTACTAAATGAAGGACGGCTATGCGCTCTTTTTCCCTTGCTCACTCTCTCCCTCTCTTTATGCTCTCTCTCTATAGTCTCTCGAATGGCAGCAGCGCACAAAAATTGAATATTGTTCGCGACGATCCCAGCTCTTTCCTCTTGAGTGAAGGGTATACCGAAATCATAAAAGCATTTGTCACGTTCATGCAAACAAAATGTAAGCGTTTCGATGGTTATTCGTGGGAAGGGTATGAAAGCGTTGATACGCATAAAGAATATGATTTCGCGACGGGCAAGTACACACACACTTGTAGTCCCTTGCTACATGTATGAGCATTTGTGACCTGCGTGCGTTACTCTTGCTGCTTGTAGCAATTTTAAAGCCCAGCATTTGCATTTGGTCGGTCTTACGGACTGTCATAACCACTTTAAACAGATGTACTATGTATGAACATACATACATATGTACATAAGTACATTTATATATTATTATTGCTAATCATGTTTATAAATGAGTTTATATCCGTAAATAATTATATATAATTAACATTTTATACACATTTTTAACCGAAAAAATTATCGTAAAACACTACTAACTTTATTAAATGCTTTGCAATATATGAAATACACATGTCATATTATACTCAAGCTTTACTCATTATTGTCAAAAATTTCTAATTAAGTCATAATGGCCCATTTGATAGTCACCCTACGATTCAAATCATACAAAATTTACAAACTACTAAATCCGGAGACAATTAGCTTGCCATCCCATACAAGCATACACACTCACTGCTCACTTCACAAGGCAGACCAACGGCAACTTTTGGGCTGATAATAGACGAAAATACTGAGAAAGAATTAAGTTTCGCGACGCACGCACACAAAAGCACATACACGTAGCAAGGATGTAAATGTGTGTGTACATGCTCGTCGCGAAAATGTATTCTTTCTGTGCAGAACAGGCTGTGCAAATTGTAAAGCCCAAAATTTGCCGTTGGTCTGCCTTGTGAAGTGAGCACATGCATACATACATTTGTGTATGTGTATGCTTGTATGGGATGGCAAGCTAATTGTCTCTGGATTTAGTAGTTTGTAAATTTTGTATGATTTGAATCGTAGGGTGACTATCAAATGGGCCATTATGACTTAATTAGAAATTTTTGACAATAATGAGTAAAGCTTGAGTATAATATGACATGTGTATTTCATATATTGCAAAGCATTTAATAAAGTTAGTAGTGTTTTACGATAATTTTTTCGGTTAAAAATGTGTATAAAATAATGTTAATTATATATAATTATTTACGGATATAAACTCATTTATAAACATGATTAGCAATAATAATATATAAATGTACTTATGTACATATGTATGTATGTTCATACATAGTACATCTGTTTAAAGTGGTTATGACAGTCCGTAAGACCGACCAAATGCAAATGCTGGGCTTTAAAATTGCTACAAGCAGCAAGAGTAACGCACGCAGGTCACAAATGCTCATACATGTAGCAAGAGACTACAAGTGTGTGTGTACTTGCCCGTCGCGAAATAATATTGTTTATGCGTATCAACGCTTTCATACCCTTCCCACGAATAACCATCGAAACGCTTACATTTTGTTTGCATGAGCGTGACAAATGCTTTTATGATTTCGGTATACCCTTCACTCAAGAGGAAAGAGCTGGGATCGTCGCGAACAATATTCAATTTCTGTGCGCTGCTGCTATTTGAGAGACCATATAGAGAGCGAGAGAGAGAGCATAAAAAGAGGGAGAGAGTGAGTAAGGGAAAAAGAGCGCATAGCCATGCTTCATTTAGTAATGCGTGCAATTCGTGGCAGCAGTCGCAGCACACTGATTTTGTCTTGCCTTATTTTCACTGCTTGAGCCTCAGAAGACCGAGCCGACCAAATACGAAGTTGTCCGGTCCGCTCAGCGCATTTTTTCGGTGTTGAAAAAGTTTGTTCTACATGTCTAGTCTATGTGTTCTCTGGTCAGTGACATCAATTACTTTGGTGCAACTTCCCAAGTCGGCGGCTCTTTTTGGTAAGAAATACATTTATAAGAAGCAATTAAGTATAAAAATAAGTATTTATTTGTAGGTAAATTTTCGTTGGTGCTGGTGGCTGGACAGATTATCACGGAACGACGAGCTGCCTTAAAAGCTAAGCATGTGGAGATGCTTGTCTTTCTTAATCATAACTCTTGGATCTTGGCAGAAGAATAAAAGCCATGCATTTAATTTTAATTTTATCTAAATTTTTTTTTGGTATAGTCCATGAAGGATCTCATTATTGTTTATTAAAATTTTTATTTTTATTTTTAAATATGCATTTACAATGGAGGACAAAAGTATTTTGACAACGCATTGCAAAAACTTTAACCGCTTATTTCTGCATGCTGAGAGTGGTAACGGTACCCATTATATTTTTTAGAGAGAGCAAACATACTAGGCTTTAAGTGACCAAAATATTGCAGTGATAACATAACTCATTATTTTTCGATAATTATTTGCATGGCGGATTATCATTATTTGGGTGGACAAAAGTATTTTGACATTCCCTTTCAAATTCATTTTCGGTAATTTGCTTTGATTCAAAAATACAAGTTATTTTTGGTTTTTTAAGTTATTTTTGGTGTCCTCTTTAATAATAGCCATTATTTGATCATAGTTTTCGGTAAGTTATGGGCAAACAACGTGGTTAAGTGAAATCTTTAAAAAATCAATCGGTCACAAAGAATAATGCAGGTATTTCCGTGGAAATGCTTACAAGTTTATAAAATGCACCTCTATGATCAATTTACTACGAAATTAGCAAAAAATAGAAAACTGATTCACTCAAACAAAAAGGCCAGATCGGGAAAATCATTCCAAAAAACCTGTAGAAGGCCGCATCATAATGACAAATCTTAAAGAAAATGTGCGGATTTTCCTAAAAGTCATGTCGATCACACTCAAAAATAATCATAAATTATCAATAAGCACAAAAACTATCACAAGTCGGCGAAAGAAGGCCAATTTTTCTACGTTATAGATCTTCCAATACTCTTAATATCAGTATAAAATAAACTAAAAAGGTATCGATTTGCTAAAATCTTCATAGGCAAGCCGCAATTCTTCTGGGGAAAAGTATTATGGATGGACGATAGTTCCTTTGGGTATCCTGGATAAAAAAAGCGATTTATAACAGGTTACCAAAGAATATTCGCAAAAAAAGAGGCATATGTACCCACGTGCTGAAGAATCGGTAATCAAGGTCCATATTATAACTGAATTTTCTGGGAATATTGAAGTCAATACATATGATTGGCCACCTCAGCGCTCTGATCTCAATATTATAGAGAATGTGTAGGCTTACGCAAAAGTAAAACGTAGCTTAGACTTAGCAAGAACGCCCCAGGAGACGGATTGCTGAGGTTTGTGGACTTTAGCAGGATTTTTCAATAGAAACATTACAAAATTTGGTTAAATCGATCCCTAAACGCTTGCAGATATTAAAGGAGGGTTTAATTCTTAATAATATTTTAGTTACTATTACCATTGTCAAGTTTTTGTCTCACTTTATTTAATAAATATGAATGTCAAAATACTTTTGTCCACCCAACTAATGATAATCCGCCATGCAAATAATTATCGAAAAATAATGAGTTATGTTATCACTGCAATATTTTTGTCACTTAAAGCCTAGTATGTTTGCTCTCTCTAAAAAATATAATGGGTACCGTTACCACTCTCAGCACGCAGAAATAAGCGGTTAAAGTTTTTGCAATGCGTTGTCAAAATACTTTTGTCCTCCATTGTATTTTTTGTTTTTGAACTTGAAAATATTTTCGATAGTAGTATCGATGCTATTGAATAATTGTTGTAAAACCATGGAAACTATTGAATGTTACAACCATCGATAGTTTTACAGCTCTAATACATATAAAGAGTTCGGTCGCTAGATGCAGCGGCAGAACGGAAGTATATACCACGTCATACATAAGAGACCGATCGTGTTGTGTTATATAAACACAGCGACTAAGTGTCACTATGTCGATGAGCGTAATTTTCAGTCGACTGTTTCCAATTTTCTTTTAAAATTTGTTAAATAGTACTCTTAATCTATAATATCATATAAAAGATCAATATTTCCTACTCCCTTGGTTGAAATAAAGCCGCAAACTCAGACAGGATCGTTACCTTGTTTTACGGTTGGCCTCAAATATAGTGTTTTCAGCTCTATATGCACTTTACGGCGCACCATGGTCGTCACAGTACTCCCGAACAATTTGGACTTGCTTTCTTCAAGAAATATTACGTCATCCTACTAAGCCACTTTGGTGTAATCTGTGATGAATAATAACCTCCACTCTCGGCTACAATCAGTTAACAATTATCTTTTCATAGTAATTACGCCGTTGTACCCATTTTTCTTTTATGACGCGTCGAATTTTTAACTTCCATGTCATAGCAATAGTAAGTTCAGCACTTTATTCTGGGGCATTTAGTCAAAGATTGTCTTTTATTTTCCTGACAATATAGCTTTCGTCATGGAGATTCCGGCATTTTAGTTGTCCAGTTTGCTTGAATGAGGTGATCCTTGCCCCATTTCTGATACTTTGGACGGCGTAGCTCTCAGCATAAGGCTAAATTTTCTGGATTCGAGCAGTTTTTCTCTTTTCTTGGCCCAGAAATCTAGATGGAGCACCAGTTTTTGTTGCTCCAAAGATGAATCTGATCCTTTGGTGATAAAAAATGTTTGTGACAGTATGCTTTTTGTTGAAGATTGGATGAAAAGAAACACGTTTGGTTGTTATAGTGAGACTGTGTTTATTATCCTTGTCAATAGCTAAAACTGATAGCGTTGCCCCTAATAATAGCCTGACCAACACTCTCTCTCAATTCGTATATTTAAATTAAGCCGAGTAACGCATTGAATTTTATATGCTTACTTTTGGTTAAAATATCGCCAATAATTTTACTTGATGGACAATAGGATAATTCGATTAACCTATTTTCATAACAATTCCGTATATGATGTTTGCTTCGCGCATAATACAGTTGGTTCTTTACAAGATTTTGCTGAAATATGATTTCATTTCGCTTACTAGTTTACTTAAATAAATCGCCTGCTTTTCAGCATCGGCGAGCGTCATTTATTCTATCTCAGTACTGATTAGCGCCACCGATGTCTATTTGTTTGAGGTCCAAGGAAAACTCTAACTTCCCCACATGAAGGCATATCCTGTGAAAGTAGTGTCTCCTTCCTAATCTGCATCTGCATAGCCAGCAATCTGTTCTTCGGTCTTCTCTTAGACTAGCAATAGATCTGCTGTGGTGGGCAGATACCTCAGGACTTGCTTTGCTTCTTCAAGATGTTCGCTGACCACTGAATGTAAGATGTCTGGCTGTGTGCATAGCGTAATAATCATTTGCGAGCCAATCACAGACTGATACTCTGTGATATCAAAGCACTTACACGACTCTCTCTTACAGTTTACTTGGAAGTTAGCTTCCAAAGGTGCTAGCCAGTGCGGTGGTTGGACATGCCCATCTCATAGAGCAGACTCACTATATGCTTTGGCTCACACGACCTCACCTAGGCTTAAACATGCCTGTAGCATATTATCCACGTATACCGCAATCAGGTTTATCGTCTGGTCACCTCTCTCGGTTGACTCAGGTACGCTATCCTCGATGAAATATAAGTAGATGCTCATCTTTACGTCATGCCTTTGACAGTCCGACCATAATATACTTTTTTCCTGTCTCCTTGAATTTCTTCTTTGGACGGACGGACGGACAGACAGAAAGTTTCATTAAATTTATGTAAGTCAATTATCAAAATGTTTGTCAATTAACAAAATGTTTGGCCAATTAACAATCGAACGTGCACCAGCTATTACAGTTTTCCTATACGTGTGCACACATACATTCAAACTTATTCTAGCATATTATTAGAATCGCATTGCGATTGTTATGCTACAGTTTCCAACAGTTGGTTTAGCTTAGATTTTCTAGATGGCGCTGCAGCAGTGAATCTATTTCAGTTTGCCATCAGTTTTTCAAAAAGTGAAGTGGCGTTGTGACTAGCAGCGCGACGCTCGATAAAGGAGTCTTAGGTTTTTATTTTAATTATTGAAAATATTTAATTTTCCCAATTGCAACTAGTGAGACCGCGTCATGTCAATTGTTTTTGAAATACATACTATGTATGTATGTATGTATATACTAGATAAATTAGAAGTAATCGTAATTAAAATGAAAACTATATATAAAGTGTATTTATATATATTTAAGGAAGATAAGCATTACTGCAGACGCAGAGATAAGCGAGGCTGACAAAGAGAACAAATATAATAAATGGGCTTTATCAGCGGGCCGTCTAAATTTTAGGGGGCTAAGCATTGAATTTCAGAAAAACGGTGTTCGATTTAACAGTTCGCAATAAACACACATATGGATGTATATACATACAGTGGGTCAAAAAAGTATTGGCACACTTGAAAAATCGAACTTCTAAAAGATCTGTAACTTTTTTTTGAACACATATAAATTAAAAACGGCATTTATTAAATCCATGTTTTCTAATAATATTTAACAAAAAAAAAAATTAAATTTCTTGTGCAAGTGAACCAAACAAGAAATTTAATTTTTTTTTTGTTAAATATTATTAGAAAACATGGATTTAATAAATGCCGTTTTTAATTTATGTGTTCAAAAAAAAGTTACAGCTCTTAGAAGTTCGATTTTTCAAGTGTGCCAATACTTTTTTGGCCCACTGTATGTTGAGTGACATAGAAGCTTAGCCGAAAACGGGTTGAGTGAAAGAGTGCGCTCGTACATGACTCAAGGCAGAATATTCAGCCTAGCAAAAAAAAAATTGAAGAAGTGGGAGTGTGGCTGTGAATACATGAGCTGATAGGATTGCATACCGACACAAAAATGATCATACATGTAGCAGGAGACTGTAGTGTTTGTCGCGAACAGATTTCAATTTTCCTGCGCAATCGCTTGTGCGCTCATAGAGGGAGAGATCATAGGGAAACAGAAAGAGTAAGTGATAGAGAGTATAGCATATCAAAACGTGATCTTGTACATATATTTCAGCTCTCATAGCGCACCGAGCATATACGAAGTAGAAAATGCTTGCAAAAACTTGAGTAATTCGACGCCTTTACGTTTTGGCATATTTTTCATTCCGTTTTAAAGCTTCATTTATTCTCGCTCATTTTATTGAGGGCCGTAAGATTTGACTTCTTGAGCTCACTAAAATGTAAACTTATCGTGTTTTTTACTTTTGTCAATTAACATACATAGCTTTTTTGTTCAGAGTGACAATAATAGGCATTGTTTAAATCTTTATAATTAATACATACATATGTATGTGTCGGGTCTTCAGTAATATTTGAATGAATTTTCCAAATTCGCTATTTCATCATCTGATGACTCGGCGACGCGTTTGTAACGGCACTTCCCACCGATTTGTTTCTAGCGCTGGAGCATCGTGAATTACGTGTAAGTGCGTTCATCTCTACTATTGCAGCTCAACTGATCTCGAGCCGTCTTCAGAAGATCTGGCGATTCTAATCGTTACCACTTCCAAACACTGCGGGCACGGACTACTCTCAGCAATTATTTGCACACGTTCCCAAATGAAGTACGGTTATGCGCTCTTTTTTTACCTTACTTTCTCTCTCCTTCTCTTTATGCTCTCTCAAATAGCAGCAGCGCACAAAAATTGAAAATTGTTCGTGACGATCTCAGCTCATTCCTTTTGTTGAACAGTATACCAGTAAAACGTTTGTCACGCTCATACAAAATGTTAGCGTTTTCATCATTATTTCTAGGAAGGAATAAAAGCGTTGAGATGCATAAAGAATATGTTTTGGCGACGTGCACACATACACAATTTCAGCACCTCGCTACATGTATGAGCATTTGTGTGCCTGTGCAAATTGTAATGAACAAAACGTACTAGAACCATCTAACGGTAACCTGAATGTAAAATTATTAGGCTTCCGCTTCAAAAATGTGAAAATTACAGGGTATTTTTCGATATACCAGGCCCCTATGGTCTCTAAAATCATCACTCTCAGCATCGCAAAAATTTGATAGTGTTGATGCGCATAAAAAATATGATTTCGCGACATGCAAACTCACACTCTTGCAGTCTCTTGACACATGTATTAGCATTTGCTGCCTGTGCCACTTGGTGCCTGGCTCTGTGCTCATTCTATGCTTTCAAATAAATATGCATGTATGTATGTATGTACATATGTATACAAAAATATACATACATACATATGTATGTACGTATACTATCTATCAACAATTGGCACACTGAAAAGAAATGTAATTTTTTAGTTCTGATGCATTTTTTATACCCTGAACCCATTTTCAATGGGAAATCAGGGTATAATGGTTTTGTTGAAATGTATGTAACAGGCAGAAGGAGGCGTGGCAGACCCCACAAAGTATGTATATTCTTGATCAGGGCGACGAGCTGAGTTGATTTGGCCCTGTCCGTCTGTCCGTCCGTCCGTCTGTCCGTATGTTTGAACGCGTCGATTTCCGAAGATATAAGAGCTAGAGACTTCAAATTCATCATTATCATTAAAAATCAATAACTCATCCCGATCTGTTTTTATCGATTAAAAACCTTATCGAAAACCAGTTATAAAATTTTATCTTCTACACCTTTATTGCTAGAGTCTCCAAATTTTTAATGTATGCTCATATGCAATTTATACAATTTCGGTTTTTGTTAAAATTTACCCCCCCACCCTTATATTCACCCCCTCACCATCACTTTTGTAAAAGGCGTATTTCAAATACTAGAGACTTGTGCTTTGGCAAATACATGCATATTCATGTTATAATCATAATCTGAAAGTTTCATGAAGATCGTATGTCCACAAGAAAAGTTATTCAACAATTAAGTTCTCATAGTAAGCGCACACTGCGCCCATGCGTGTTTATGCTTGTGTGTGTATGTGTTTGTGTCTGTGTGTATAAATGTTTGTGTATGCGTGTGTGTGTGTGTGTGCGCGTGTGTGTGTGCGCCTGTTTCTTGTGTTAGCTGAAGGACGCGAAAAATGATTGAAATAGCTATTACTCCAAGGGTTCAGGGGATCTCGTAGTCGAGCAGTCTCGACTAGAGCTTTCTTACTTGTTTAATAAGTTATTTTTAAAGAATTATTGACACGTCACCATTTCCGTGAACAATGTGGGTCCCTGCTCGAGCGCCAGTTAAGCACTCCCACACTAGAGTACTAGTGATTGGGGACGCTGTGTTGGGTTCTTGTGAAAATATAACAACTTGGTGTTCAATGAAATAATATATTTTATATAATTTGGAACAATAGGTCTAAACTCTCTCTAGTCCGAATATAAACTGAACTAAATCTGTTCTACTGGTTAGGTTCTCCCCTTGAATATCTGACTGGACTCTCCAGCCTCCTTAGATTTTCGAAAGTCTTAACTTATATATATACGTATATATGTATGTATATTTCTTTATTAATTTATTTATTTGTATATATCATACATAGCTACGATTGAAAATGGACATTTGTTGGCCATTTTAAAGCTGATGTGCCGATGTAGATGTGGAATTATTTTAATTAGTAGACACATATAATATAGATTTGCTCCGAAAGGATATTTATCGTGTTTATTCAGTTGAAAAATGCGTCTATTGGAGTATTAAAACTGTGATATAATTTAACGCGCTGAAAAAAACAAATATGTCATTTAATTTGTAATTTAATTTTACTTTACTTTAATAAATTTTTAGTGTATTCAACTATGGAGTTTGAGGTATTTGACCATGGTAATAATTTAATATAATTTAAGTGTTACTATAAGTCTAAATAACTAAAAAAATGGCGAACTTGGTACATTCATATAAAGGGTGTACATGCGATAGACTTTAAGGATATTCTAATTGAATCAATGTTGAAAATGTCCCAAAAATAAAAATTTTGTTGACAAAAATGTATGTTATTATCATTATTTCTTATAACATATGCATATGTACATTAGACGTCTGCATGAATGGCAAAAAAAGCACATTCAAATGTACAATGTCATCATTGAATTGAGTGAATATTTGTACAAAACGAAATGAGAATGAGTGAGTGACTGAAGTCGTGTTTCTCTCGGTTGCACAAAAATATACCCGAAAAGAAACGAAGTGAGTGAGTGAGCAGCAGAAGCTATTAAATGTTGTATATTGAATACATTCGAATATTGTAAGCTGTTTTCTGCTGTGTGTGTTCTCTGTTAAAAGAAAGAGGAAAAAATAAAGAAATATGTGTGCAATGTATTTTTATACCCTGAAATGGGAAATCAGGGTATAATGGTTTTGTTGAAATGTATGTAACAGGCAGAAGGAGGCGTGGCAGACCCCACAAAGTATATATATTCTTGATCAGGGCGACGAGCTGAGTTGATTTGGCCCTGTCCGTCTGTCTGTCCGTCTGTCCGTATGTATGAACGCGTCGATTTCCGAAGATATAAGAGCTAGAGACTTCAAATTTTTTTTAAAATGTCCGTAATTACAGCGCGCATATCAAGTTTATCATTAAAAATCGATAACTCATCCCGATATTTTTTTATCGATAAAAAACCTTATCGAAAACCAGTTATAAAATTATATCTCCTACACCTTTATTGCTAAAGTCTTCAAATTTTGTATGTATGCTTATATGCAATTTATGCAATTTCGGTTTTTTTAAATTTTAAATTGCGGGACGGCCGTAAAGCATTGCTTCGCAAGCACTATGCGCTACCTTAGCCTGGGACAGCTCGTCTTCTCAGTCGCTCGACTCTGCGGAGCTCCATCATCACCGTGGCCGCGAAGGTGCTTGTTAGTTCCCAAGCTTCCTCCGATTCCAGCATAGCGTTGACTAAGTTGTCCGCTCTGATGGAGCGGCCCACTGCCTCTTCCAGACGACGCCTCTCCTCCAGGAACCGTCCACATTCGAAAAGAATGTGGTTGGCGTCTTCCACATGCCCTCGCTCGCACCAGGGGCACTCGTCAGATTCCTCGTGGCCAAAGCGCTTCAAATAGCTACGAAAGCATCCATGACCCGAGAGGATCTGCGTAAGGTAGAAGTTAACCTCGCCATGTTTGCGGTTTACCCATGGTTCAAGCTCCGGGATGAGCTTGTGCGTCCACCGCCCTTTAGCTGAGCTATTCCACCTTCTTTGCCATCGTGCGATGCTGTCCACCAAAAGCTGGCCGAAGCGATTTGATAGCCTCAATGGGGAGTGAGCTATCCTTCAACTCCACCCTAATTGCCTCCAAGATCTCCTCTTTGGTCGCTAACTCATCTGGATCGTGAATCTCAACTTGAGCCGATTCGGTAAGTGTTTTAACTACCGCTCGGTCTCCCAAGGCCTTGCCTACAGCTTCGTGCAGAGCCTCAGCGCTATGCTCCGGCATCCTACTCAGTTGCAATAAAAGGTTCCCCTTAGCTGTCTTCCTAATGCCTTGAACGTCGCTGCTCAGATGCTTCAAATTTGGGTCGCTTTTAACTACACGAAGCATGTCCGCATAGCTGCAACCCCCTACGCCTGAAATCGCAATCGCGTCAGTCCTGGGACGTTTTTGCATAGGCTTTCGCCCTTTAACGACTGTCCAGCTGCTCTGGTTTGTCTGTCGAGCGGCCTGGTTTGAAGTTTCAGCTGCAGCCCGTAGAGCCATTGGTTCTTTTTGGTTCGCTGCACTTCTATTGGGCCTCGGCTTTTTTGAGGGAGTTTTCCTCTGTTCGGAGGCAACTTCCCTCGACCGCTTGGGAGTATTGCTACCTACTGTAGCACTAATGCTCGCTGCCTTAACGTTTTCGCCTACTTTTTTGAGTGGCGTGGTCTGCACCTCACAGTTTTTAACCGAACGGTTGCAGAACGCTTCGGCCGTCTTGTGAAGGCTGACCAGCCTAGCCAGCTCCTCTCTCATTAAGGCATTTATATGCCGCTGACCCCCAAATAAGGCAGACAAACCCTCTAGTGTAGCTCCTATCTGAGCTAACGCTTCTTTTAGTGACTTGGGTGCCTGGCACTCAGCCACTGGAGCCTGGTTAGAAGTCGACGGCTGCGCCAACGCCTTCTGTTGTTGCTGCGGCGATCGCTGCAACGAGGAACGACGCGCAAAAGCTTGCAGCTCGTCCTCCAACATGGCATCCATTTCTGCTCCGACTACCACGGCGTGAAGCCTGTAGTGGGCAATGGCTACTAAAATAATCTGAGTTTACAACCCGCAGTAACTTAAACTCAACTTGACTACAGCGAGAGCCCGAAAGTATGCACTACTTTTAATAATTGCTACTTCACTCCAGCAGCTAGGTTGCTGTCTTTGCTAAGGCTTAGCAACTCACCAACGTTAGTGAGCAGCTGATTGCCCGATGCAATTTCCAGCACTACTAACAGCTGTTAGAGTGAATGCACCTGATTTTTATTATTGCGCAAGTGTGACGCCTAAAGAACAAAATTTACGCGCCCACAAAAGACAAGGAAAGGAAGAAGCCCTGACGCCAAAACAATGACGCTATCGCCCCCCCTCTCTTGCACCACCGAATTATACCGCTTGGGAATTCCACGAACCGCCGCGCAGTAAGTCTCTGGTAGTTTTTTTGAGGTCGCTGGGTACGCCGCGCCCACAGCAAACACGTTGACTTCAGTTCATTCCACTTTCACAGGGGAAAACACAGTTCAAGCTATTGTCTACGATGGATCACGATGACATCGACCGCACTCCGTGAAAACGCAACTCGAACTCCTGTATGCCTGGGTGTGCGTGCGTGCGTGTGTGTGTGTGCGTGTGTGTGTATGCGTGTGTGTGTGTGCGTGTGTGTGCGTGTTTCTTGTGTAAGCTGAAAGACGCGAAAAATTATTGAAATAGCTATTGCTCCAAGGGTTCAGGGGATCTCGTAGTCGAGCAGTCTCGACTATAGCTTTCTTACTTGTTAACTTATATATTTATTACAAATAATTAATTAATAATATTAGAATTCTCTCTCTCTCCTATATTTTATATATTTAAACCAAATAAATATTAAATCTGCAAATATCAACAAAGAAAACATATATAGACGGTCGCAACTACACATTTTGTTAGTAAAACTAAAACACAAGCTTTAAACAAAACAAAACACAAAAAGAACACGCTGGTATTTGCCGAAAAATACATACATTTTTTCCTGCAGCTTCCGCTCCCTTTTCGCACATCTGCTCACAATTTCTCAAAGCACAAAATGAATACACATTTTATTCTTCGAACTACTTGAGTAGTTCGAATGTTTTCGAAGTTTTCATTTCATTTTGCTCTTCTTTCGTTATACTCAGTCATTCGGCATGAGACACAACATGTTCGTCTTGCGAAACAGTAGTATACACATTCGTCTCATTCTGTCCTTTTCACTCACTCATATTCTATTCAATTCGAATGTACTCAATGTGGCTTTGTTATGAATGTATTCATGCAGACGTCTAATGTACATATGTATATGATGGTTGCAATGTCACTCCCGGCAACTCAAATTTAATTTTATACCAATCGACAATGGGAAATATACCCTGTATAATGATTATATGAAACAAGTAAGAAAGCTCTAGTCGAGACTGCTCGACTACGAGATGCCCTGAACCCTTGGAGCAATAGCTATTTCAATAATTTTTCGCGTCTTTCAGCTTACACAAGAAACACGCACACACGCATACCCACACACACACATACACAAACACATACACACACGCACGCACGCACACACAGGCATACATACACACACAAACGCATACACACACACACATACACAAACACATACACACACAAGCACCCACGCATAAACACGCATGGGCTGCAGTGTGCGCTTACTATGAGAACTCAATTGTTTAATAACTTTTTTATGGACGTACGATCTTCATGAAACTTTCAGATTATGATTATAACATGAATATGCATGTAATTGCCAAAGCACAAGTCTCTAGTATTTGAAATACGCTTTTTACAAAAGTGAGGGTGAGGGCGTGAATTTAGAGGTGGGGGGTAAATTTTAACAAAAACCGAAATTGTATAAATTGCATTTAAGCGTACATTAAAAATTCGGAGACTCTAGCAATAAAGGTGTAGAAGATATAATTTTATAACTGGTTTTCGATAAGGTTTTTTATCGATAAAAAAAGATCGGGATGAGCTATCGATTTTTAATGATAAACTTAATATGCGCGCTGTAATTACGGACATTTAAAAAAAAATTTAAGTCTTTAGCTCTTATATCTTCTGAAATCGACGCGTTCATACATACGGACAGACTGACGGACAGGGCCAAATCA